TTATTATTATTACTTTACACTTTATGTAAACAAAAAAAAAATATATTTAAAGGGAAAAAAAAAAAAAATTTATTACTCCTTTCGAACGCAATGTCAATTTTTTTAAATAAGAAAATAAATAACGAAAAAAAATTATTATTATCAACATTATTACTATTATTATTATTATTATTATTATTATTATTATTATTATTATTATTATTATTATTATTGTTATTATTCTTATTATTAACCTTATTATTATTATTTTTTTCATTTGAATGAAAAATATATAGTTTCATGCGTGAATTTCCCAGGTAAATAATTAATTTATTTTTAAAAAAATTATTATCATCATTATTAAAGTAATTAATAATTATTTAACCGACAAATAAATAAATAAATAAATAATAATAATAATAAACGGAGGAAGTGAGGTAGAGGGGATGGAGGTGGATGGGTGAGGAATTTCATTTGAAATCAAATTAATATATAATTAATTATGTACATAAATAATATAAATATATTTGACCTGACATTAATATTAATAATAATAATAATTATTATTATTAATACTAACGTTTTTTTTGTATTATTATTATTATTATTAATAAATATTTAAATGGGTTATTTAAGTACGGCCTCCAGTTTTTTTTTTTCCTGCTACTGACTGATAAATTCTGGAATTTTTTATTTAAGAAATACATGAAAAAAAAAAAGTAAATAAATAAATGTTATCAGTGGCGAAATAATAGCTTCGGGTATTAAATAAATAAATAAATAAAAATGATTACAAAGTCATGAATTGATAAATAGATAAAAAAAAAATTAACTAGTTCGACCCCGGAATCAAAAAATAAATAAGTTTTTCTTTTTAAATAAATAATTTACATAAAAATCCTTTTTTTAATAGTTAATAATAATTATTATTATTCTTTATTACGTAATAAAAATAATAATAATTACTTTCTGCGCGTATTTATTAATTTAGCAAAATTTTTTTCATTTTTTTTTACGGTTAAAAATGACTACCGAATATTAATAATAATAATGATGATAGCTATGATAACAACTTAACCTTTTAATAAATAATATTAAAGTAATAATAATAATAATAATAAATTTGATAGTAATCAATTTTATAATCAACAAATAATATAATAATATCAAATAAAATAGATAATATCAATAAATAAAAAAAAAATTAAAAATAAAACACGTTTTAAATTAAAATACACTCTCTGTTGTAAAAAAAAATATTAATAATAATAATAATTAATAGTAATAATTAAAATAACAATGATGATGATGATGATGATAATAATAATAGTAAGGATTCGAGTTATTAAAATCGTTTTGAAAATTTTAACTTTACCGGTATTTATTATTATTATTATTATTATTATTATTATTATTATTATTAATAAAACCGCCTTTTTTAACTTTTTTTTATTATTATTATTAATTACGTTATTCAAGTTGAGAATAATAAAAATTAACCGAAAATTTTATAAAATATTAAATCTTTTCATCATCATTAAGTAAAAAAAAAAAAAAAATTAAAAAAGGGCGGGAAATTCAAAAAATTCGAACGTAGGAAAAAAAATTTTTTTTTTTTAAGTGGAAATCGTTTAACGGTAAATTTTAAAATAATTTTATTTATTATTAATAAAGTTTTTTATTATTATTATTTTATAGTTCGATTATAAATTATAGCGCTATAATTTTTTTATAACACACAACCACTATCGAACGCCATATTGTTTGTTTTAAATCGTAAAAAAAGAAAAATTTTTTAAATTTTTTTTAACGTGTCAAAACAAGTTTCGGATAAAAATCTGCCATCTTATCACTACTACCACTACCACTACCACCACTACTACCGACACTACAAATATGTCGTCATCAAATATTTAACCGAACGAGTTATGCTAATTATTTATAATCTTTTTTTTTTTTTTTTTTTTTTTTTATGTTCATCCGATTTCAATAAGGTATATCTTATTTATACCCGAAAAAAAAAAAATTGTTATCTGACAGATTTTTACCTGATAACTCGCCTGTTTATTTTTTTTTTTTTTTGTTATCAAAAATATAATCCAACATTTCAACAAGTTTATTTTATTAAAAACGCTCCCATTTTTTTTTTTTTTTTTAGTTTTTAATTGATTTCGAATTTCCCCCCCTTTCCCCTTTCCCCTTCCGCTCCGTATAATTTTTTATTTATATAATTTAATGGAATTTTTTTTAATTTTTTTTATTAGTTCATTAATTGCGTAATTTAATGACTCAATTAATTATTATTAAATAATAATAATAATCATAATAATTTTATATGAGGATTAATAAAACCTCCCTTAGATTATTAAAAAAAAAAAAAAAAATGTTTCGATATTAAAAATGGCGGATAAATGCAATAATATTATATAATATTATTATTATATATATTTATGTATATATGTATACATTATGTTAATATAAAAACGTTATCAAAATAAATAAATTCGATTCATTATCAATTAACCAACCGACAGATCCTTCGATTATTATTATTATTATTATTATTATTATGAAATAAACGAGTTAATTTTGATATATCGAATTAAAAAAAAAAAAAATTAACAATAATGAATGAATAAATAATAATAATAATAATAATTTATTTATTTCTTTAAAAAAAAAAAAATTAAATAAAACGATGTCAAAATAATCAATTATATTGTCGAATCAAATAAATAAATTAATTAATTAATAATTATTTAAATGTCAAATTTATCATTTTTTTTCTTTTTATTATTAATTAATAAGTTATTAATATTTTTCTCTCATTATTTAAGTGGGTCGATAAAAAAAAAAAAATAGCGAGAAAATTTTATTAATCCCTTTTATTTATACGTATCGAAATAAAAAAAAGGCTCGGATAATTTTTTTATTAATAAATAATAATAATAATTGTAAAAGTTAATAAAAGGTTAAAAAAAAAAAATTATTATAGCCGTAAAACTTTTTTGTACTTTTTTTTTTTTTTTGTTTTTGGAATGCTAGTTGCTGACTAAGCCCCGAAGGTTATTTTGAAAATATATATAATAGTAACGTTAAAAAAAAAAAAAAAAAATAGGTACATAATATGTTCTTCAATACGTTTTCAATATGTTTCCCTGGGGAAATCACGACCACGCTAAAATATAAAACCTAGTTTTTATGAAATTCCGTTCATATTTTTTTTTTTTTTTAAAAAAATGAATATTAATTTATTTACTAGATGATTATAGACGCGCGTAGAAAAAGAAAAATACCATATTGTCTGTTTTCAATATATTTTAGTTTTTTTTTAAATTATATGCGTACATAAGTACGAATTAAATTATTAAAACAGTTATTAATAATGACGTGGTGGTCGGATAGTAAAAAAATAACTTATAATTTTCCATAACCTTATATTATATACGTTATAATGATTATAATATGCAAGGTTTTTTTTTTTTTTTATACGTAATTTATTATGATAAAAATTTTTTTTTTTTTTTTGCGTAGGTATTGTTCAAATTCCTTATTAAAAAAATAAAAAATTTTATTGGTCGTATAATTATTAAAATTAATTAATTACGTAAATAAATAAATAAATAAATGTACGTATGCATTTATTATTATTATTATTATTATCATTTAATTAATAAAAATATTGACGGCCATTATGATATTTTGACGCTTTTGAAAAAAATAAACGAATTTGATTGGTTAACAAATGATAAAATTCAATTTGTAAAAATTGGAATCATAAAAAGACTTGTGAACGTATTGTTTTTTTAAACGTACAATTAGGTCTTTTTATATTTCATAAAATTCAACTCGCCTTCTTATTGGCTCTTGTAAATTAAAACCCGCGTGAGCATTTTTATTTACGTAAATATATATAACGAACGTTATTTTTTAAACTTTAAAAAAATTATTTTTTATTACTTTTCGTTTAATTAATTAATTTTTTTTATCGAATTATGCTTACGTAATAATAATTATTATTATTCAGAAAAATTACGGTTATTACGTTTATTCTTCTTACTTTAAATTTATGTTTTAATTAAAAAAAAAAAATCGACGAATAAATAATTATTATTTTTATTTATTAACAACAACAACAAACGCACATTTTACAATTTTTTTTTTTGTTTAAATGCGACATTTATTGTAAATTTAAATTCTTATCATAATTATCATCATTATTATTATTATAAATTGTTTTTATCATCGATAATTATTTTGATTACGTAATCAAAACCAATTAAGATTCATAAATATTTTGTTTTGTCAACATAATTTATAATTATTCGTACGACTTTAATTATTATTATCTACATGATAAATAATATACATATTTATTAAATTTTAAAGCGAAATCGATCAAATCAATCATTTTAATGCAAACCAACAGAAAAATAACTACGAGTTTATTATTTAATAAATTTTTTTTTTTAAATAATTGAAATCCGACTCTTAATTTTATGTAATAAAATAATTGTAATAAAGTCCTTGAAAAAAAAAATTACCACCAGTCACTTAATTAGTTATAAAAAAAAAAAAAGCGTAATTGTAATGCATAAAAGTAATAAAATTATTTTATTAATGAACGATTAATTTGCAAAAAAAAAAGAAAAGGAAACGATAAATAAATAAATTTTCCGACATTGTTAAAATAAAAAAATAAAAAAACAAGCAAGTGTACGTAATGCCGGTATGTTTTTTTGGTGTTTGTATATTGCGAACGCACGCGTAATAACGGTGAAAGGTATATTTTATTAAATCAGGAATAACCTACTTTCATTGAGCTAGCTAGCTAGCTACCGACCAAACAAACAACTAACAACAACAACAACAACAACCATTGACATTTATATATAAGTATAAGCATAAACGCCGCCGACAATTAATACAAAAAAAAAAAAAAAATTAATTTTCACACGAACTGTCAGCTATAAGGTAATTTATTAAACTTTTTTCTAATAAAAAAATTGCCATCTTAAAACTTAATTAAAATTTTTTATGTGCCTATTTAAAAAAAAAAAAAATTAAAATTAATAATAATAATAATAATATTCAGGTACGATTCATTTTTTTTTTATAACCTTCAAAATAGTATTATTATTATTATTACTTTATAAGTACTTCTAACATCACGTATATAAAATCATCGTGGCAGGTTTTTTTTTTTTTAAACTTGAAAAAAAAACTAAAAATTTTACGTAGAAACGGTGAGGGGGCGGGAAGGGGAAGGAGTGGAAAATTTTAAGGGGGTGTGGTAACCGTAATCGGGTGGGAGGAGCGGGGAGGGGGATCGTATAATAATTAAAAAACGTAAAATTTTTTGAGGTCATAGGTATCAATATTCGATTACAAAAAAAAAAAAAAAAATTAATAATTTTAATTATTATTTTAAACGAAAGTAATAAAAAATAATAATAATAATAAAAGTTGGACCCCTATAATAATTCACATTTAAAATTTTGCCCCAAAGGTAATATTAATAATAATAATCATCGTATTCAAAGGAAGTAAATTCAATTAAAATGTAAGTTATGCAAAACGTTATTCCCTCCTTCTTTCCACTCCCCCCCGCCACTTCCCTCCCCCAAAAAAAATTTCATTTTTAAATAAAACGATAGATGTGTATTTCACTGACGGAAATAATAATAATAATAATAATAATAATAATAATAATAATAATAATAATAATAATAATAATAATAATAATAATAATAATAATAATTTTTTTAATTGGACTAAATTAGGAAAAAAAAAACGTTTTTTTTTTCCAAGGCTGGTAAATCTGGTTTCGGTTTGTTTTTTTTTTTTTTTGTTACGTTGACAGACGTGTGGATGTGGGTGTTGGCAATATGTGTGAACTCATTATTCGAACACGAACAATTGTTTTCATCGTGAACCACTCCCATAATGGCCGAAAAATCACCGTGACTTGATTAATAAACAAAAAAAAAAAAATTACAAACTATTTAACTGACTACAAACCAAATTAAAAACAATTAATTTCTTACTTGAGCGAGTATTTACTACTACAACCACTACTACTACTATTATTATTATTATTATTGTTTAAAAAACGTGGATTTGGCGTGATCGGTGGCGACTCGTGATCATCTGGTAAATAATTAAAGGCTGCCTGGCAGTATTCCACCCATAATCGACTACTACTTTAAAAATTTCATTATTATTATTATTATTATTATTATTGGCTCATCTCGTGATTACATTCACTTTTTAATCATTGTTTTTTCTTTCTTATTCGAATAAGAGAGAGAAAATAAAGATGGCGTCGAGACACGTGTAAAAAGAATATTACCAATTTCGTAAGGCATATTTTACGCATACAATTAATCGAGATTTAAATCGTTTTAAACCCTTCATAATGTTAATCCTACATTATATTTTAAATCATTTTAATTCACGCCCCTCCCCCCACTCCTATGCCCAAACACGCACACACACAAACCATCATTTTTAAATTTTCCTTTTTTTGTTCAGGTACGAAAAAGAAATTCTAACTAACAATCGTATGTGTAAAACATTTTTTTTTATGCCCTTAAGATTAAAAAAAAAAATACGAAATTTTTTTATTGAAGCGTTAAATTATATAATTATTATTATTATTATTATTATTATTATTATTATTATTGAAATTTAAAAATAATAATTTTAATAATAAATTATTATTATTAATATTATTTTTATTTAATTCCAAATGATAATTTATAATTATTAACGTCGTACTAAAATTTTAAAAAAAAATTTTATCGATAACGGCACTAAAATGCATGAATATCAATTCCTGGAGAAAATATTATTGATAATAATAATAATAAAAATAATAATAATAATAATAATAATAATAATAATAATAATAATAATAATAATAATATGTATTTATTATTATTATTATTATTGAATTTCGCAAGTAAGATTTATTCGGGTGATTTTTTTTATTAAGATTTATTGTAAAAACAAAATGGTTACCTAACATCGTTAAAAAAAATATTTATTTATTTAAAAAATGAAAGTGAAATTTTTTTTTTTTTTTGAAGTTGGCAACGAGAGGTTGTTTAAAAAATTAAATATCGTACCTATGAAAATTTAATTTTTTTTTTAATAAAACGAAACGATACTTTTATTGATAAATTAAAAAAAAAAGGAAATCGATAATTAATCAAACGATTTTTAAAAAAAATCAATAAATAATAATAATAATAATAATTTTCCTTTTATTACTCATAAGTCTGTGTGAAATTAAAAAAAAAAAAAAAAAAACTGGTACGAGAACTTATTATTTATTTAAATAAATCGATGGGTTTATTACAATAAAATATCATTATTGATGACGTATCTGAAAATTTTATTCTTACCCTTCTCCACCTCCTCCCCATTCCATTTTCCCTTCGAAAACGCGGAAAATTTTTACGGCCGTGAATGTTTTCTACTCTTAGCTTTCGGCGAGGTAGTTAGAATGAGAAAAAAAAATTTCATTCCGCCTACTACATTACGAGTACAAGGTATTTTCAAAATATCGAATTTTTTCTGAATTCGTCCTCCTCACTTTTCCATTTCACTTTATGTTTCCCTATATTCGTACCTTAACTTAATTTCTTTTCATTATCATTATTATTATTAACCATTAATCATATTGTCATAACACGCCGCCTCCCGTCACGACGCCTTACTTCAATTCATTATTATTATCAAATGATAAAAAAACCTTTTTGTTGTATTATTTAAAAATTTAATATCGTACTCATTGCTTTAAAGTGCATGCGTACCCGAACGCGAGTGCTTGCGTACTTGCGATATCAATTAGGGTAAACCATTAACGAAAAAATTTAGGTATAAAAATTATTTTTAACGAAAAACTCTTTGTCACCTACCTACGACGAAACCGTCACCACCACCACCATCGTCATCGTCATCGTCATCATCATCATTATTAATATTTTAAACTTTATTAACGTATCTGAAATTTAAAAAAAAAACCAAAATAATGTCTTCCTTGCAAAATTTCAAACCTGAAAACAGGTTTTTTCAAAGGTTAAATACATAAATTTAAAAAAAAAAAATTACAATTCTTTTATTGCCAAAAAAACAATAAAAATAAATTATATTATTTTTAACACGTGAAATTTTTTTTAACATTCGGTAAAAATTTATTAAAATTATTATTGTAAATAATAGATTATTATTATTATTATTATTATTATTATTATTATTAAATTACGTAAAATAATAATAGTAATAAAAAGGCGAAGAAAAAAAAATTTTTTTTTTTTTTAATAATAATAATTTTTAATAATATTGTCGTTTATTTTTTTATTTTATTTTCATTAATTTATTTATCGATTTTTTTTACATTTAAAATTACGTTGCGTAATTGTTTTATTATTAATATTATCATCATCATCGTCATCATCATCATCGTTATCATTATCATTTTAAAAAGAAAAAAAGAAAAAAAAAGTTGAACAATAAAATTCTTATTGTATTTAAATCCTTGTTTCGAGTAATGAAAAAAAAAAAAAACTTATTTATTTATTTATTTTTTTATATTTTTATCGTTAAAATTTAAACTTTTTTTTTTTTATGTTTTAGAACATTCTCGAAAGAATTTAAATAATAAAATAGATTTTTTTTTTTGTTTTTACCGCATACGTTTATTTTATTTAATGTCATATCTTTAAATTTTTCCTTTTTTTTTTTTTTTGATAAGTCGTGTCATTAAACTTTAGTTTAAAAAAAAAAAAATTATTTTATTACTAATTAATAAATAAAAATTACTTTAAGTTTGTGTAATTTTTATTTTATTTAAATATAAATAAATAAAAAATTACCGTAATTGCAAAAGTAATTTTTAAATTAATAAAATACAAGTAAATAATTTAAATTTATTTATTTTTACTTCCGGAAATTATTAATTATTATTATTATTATTGTTTTATAAAAAATGATGAATGTACGAATGTACGTATGTAAAATAAACCGGAAGTGATAATAAAATAAAATAAAAAAACAGAAAATTAATAATAATAATAATAAATAAATGAAACGAAAAGAAAAACGTTAACGTTAACGTTAATTTTTTATTACTAATTTTTCCGTTATTATTATTTTTTTTTTTCGGCAACATTCTAAAACAGGTAAATGAGAGAGAGAGAGAGAAAACCTGATTTTTAATTTTTGTAATACGGGATGACTTTATTTAACACCTGGAAAAAAATTTGTTTGTTATCTTATCGAAAAAAAAAAAAAAAAAAAAAACAAAACTGGTAGTAATGCTGTCATTTCTACCACCCACACAAAAAAAAAAAATTTCATGATGAGATGATTAACGATGAATGATTCTTCTTCTCCTCTCCTTGTTTTTTTTTCTTTTTTTTTTTTTTTTTTTTTTGTAAATTAAACGTCAAAAATGTTTCGTAAAAAATTTTTTTTTTTTTTATAAATTATATTATTAATAATGATAATAATAATAATAACTTTCTAATTTTTTTTTCTTTTTCGAAAGTTTTCATTTTTTTTTTTTTTTTATCTACTAAAAAGTTGTTTAAATAAATTAATTTATTATTACTCCTCCTCCTCCTACCCTTCTCCTTTCTTTTTATCTCTCTCCCCTCGCCGAAAAAAAAATTATTATTATTATTATTATTATTTTCACATCAAATTTTAATAAATTATTTCAATTTTTTATCTATTTAAGGTTATGATAAAAAATTACCATGGTAACGAAATATTTTAAATTATTTTTAACTCTATTTGCGTGATTATGAGATGTCGAGATTTTAATTTTTTTTGGGGGGAAGGGAGAAGGGGCATTCAATAATTTAAACAATAAATAAATAAAATAGTTGCTCGGTAATATTATTACTCCCCGACATTATTTTTTTTTGTTTAAGTTTATAGTTAGTAATAATTTTCTTTTTTGTATTGGGAAAAGTCAGAAAATATTAGAAAATGAAAATCAAGTCGATTGTAATTAATTTTTTTTTTTAACCGAGATTAAAAATTTGGTTGTTGTTGTTGTTTGTTTGTTCGGGTGGAAATAAATATTATTTTTATATACACATGGGATGATGCAAACGATCCGTTTGTTCGTTTAAAATAACAAATAACTTTTTTGATTTCGATACATTTCAATTGAAAAAAAATAATTTTTTATTACGGAAAACAATCGAATACAAATAATATGTTTTACCTTAATTATTATCATTATTATTATCATTATTATTATTATGGCAGGTATTTAAATGTTTAATTAAAAAAAAATTAATAAATAAATTTTCAGTTAGTTTTAAACGGTAAGTAATAAATAAATAAAAAATCGAATCACAGTCGGAAGCACAGCAAGATCTTTGTTTGTTTGTTTGTTTAAACTCTGCCGTTTTTTTTTATCTGCCTTACAATTCGCGATCAAAACCAAAACAAAAATTTAATAAATATTTTCGGATTAACATAAAAAATTGAAGTGGAAGAAGAATAAAAAAAAAAAATTCCGTTTATCGATTTTTTTTAATAGCAATAAATAATATATTTTTTTTTTTTATAAATTTTTTTGCGCTCCAGGAAGCAAAATTTTCAGCTCTTCAATCAAAATGGCAGATTAGGGGCGTGGATACTACACATTATTTTTACGTTAATAAAAAAAAAAAATGGCTATCACACAAAATCAAAAAAGAAATCCACTTTCCAACATACGCCATAAATTAAATTATTCGGAAAAAAAAAAGGTGTTACGGTCGAGATTTTTTTTTTTTGTTTTTTTCTTATCGGGAATTATTATTATTATTATTATTATTATTAGAAAAAAAAAAAGTTTTTTCGAAACTTGATTAGCATATTTGTTGGTATTAAAAAAAAACGGGTACCCGCGGAGTAATAATAATAATAATAATTTTATTTTGGAATCAATCCTCATCTCTTATACCATCGCGCCACTTGTCAGACCAACAAACTCATCTCATCTCACTACATCTTTTATTTATCTTTATCTCGTTTTCTTACCTACCCACGCATAAAAAAAAACCATTGGAGAGAGAGAGAGGGAGGAATAAATGATCCGTCGCAAACGGTTGTAAACACAACGGGAGAGAAAGAGAGAGAGAGAAAAATCCTACCGTAATAATATTAAAAAAAAAAAATTACACGGTATCAGTTTCGATAAATATACATATATAGATCACGTGACTTATTTATTATTTTTATTAAGAAAAAAATATTATTATTATTATTATTATTTTATTATTATATTATATTATTATTATTATTATTATTATTATTATTATTATTATTATTATTATTATTATTATTATTATTATTATTA